CTTCCCTCCGTGCTCACATTCATGTGCATGCTCTCTCTCTCTCTCTAAAATAAATAAATCTTAAAAAAAAAAAAAGATAAGAAAATGGACACCTGGGTGGCTCAGTTGGTTAAGCGTCTGCCTTCAGCTCAGGTCATGATCCCAGGGTCCTGGGATCGAGTCCCACATAGGGCTCCTTCCCCAGCAGGGGAGCCTGCTTCTCCCTCTGCCTGCCATTTCCCCTGCTTGTGCTCTCTCTCTCTGATAAATAAATAAATAAAATCTTTAAAAAAAAAAAAAAGATAAGAAACCATTTCTTGGAAATATAATGCAAATCACTTTTTGAAAATAAATATGACAGTGGAAAAACATTTTAATATTAGAGTTAGAAGATAAAGTTGAGGAAATTGCATACAAAGTAGAATGTGATAAACATAAGGAGCAAAATGATAAAAAAAAATTAAGAGGAATAAAATTTTAAAGACCCATACCTCAGATAATGAATCTAACAGTATCTAGAAAAGAAAACAACCAAAAAAGACTACCTATGAAGAGGAGTCAGGATAGCATTAGCTCCATCAATATCAACACCAGAGGTCTGAAGACGACTGAGCAATGACTTCCAAATTCTAAGTTAAAAAAATGATTTTCAACTTAGAATACTACATTCAGTTAATTAAGTGTGAATGAAGGACACAGCATTTTCAGAATTTCCAAATCTACTCATTCTTTCTCAGGAAGCTATGGTAGAATGTATTCAACCAAAATGAAGGAGTAAATTGAGAAAGAAGAAAACAAGGGGCACCTGGCTGGCTCAGTCAATAGAGTATGCAACTCTTGATCTTAGGGTCGTTGAGTTTGAGTCCCATGTTGGGGGTAGAGATTACTGAAAAAAATAAAAACAAACAAAAACAAAAGAAAGAAGAGATCCAAATGGAAAAAGAAGCAATTGTGCAGGGGGAATCCAAGAGAATACAGTCCAGATTGCAGTGCAGGGGAGAGGGTGGGAGCTCCTAAGTGAGGACTCCCAAGAAAGAAAATAGAATTGATAATAGTTTATAGTGTTACCAAGTGGAAAGTGATATAGAAAGGTGTTTTACAGAGCTGGAGGAAGGGAGAGAAGGGAGGGGTGGCTGGGTGGCTCAGTAGTTAATTGTCTGCCTTCAGCTCAGGTCATGATCCCAGGGTTCTGGGATCGAGCCCTGCATCGGGCTCCTTGCTCGGTAAGAAGCCTGCTTCTCCCTCTGCCCACTCCCCCTGCTTGTGTTCCCTCTCTGGCTGTCTTTCTCTCTGTCAGATAAATAAAAAAATCTTAAAAAAAAAAAACAAGGGAGATAAGGGATTGAAAAAAACTATGCAAATGAAAAACTATGACTTCCGAAACAATAAAGTTAAAAAAAAAAAAAAGGGGGAAACAATGACAGTGTATTAGTTGACTTAACAGAGAACAATACTTATACCTGTTTGGCATCCAAACACAGCATAAAAATTTAAAACTACAAGCATCCTAGACTTATTCTACTTTAGCTTACTGATTTTATATAGATGACAAAAGGAGTTTTTGAGATGTTAAATGACATACATTACAATTCCAGATGTATCGGTTGTTGCTACTGAAGATACTCAGCCATTTAGTCTACAGACGGACATGGTTTCAGTAGTTGGAATATACCAATAACGCTGGCATTCCGAGATCTGGTTCTAGCTCTACTTCTAAGTGTGTAAAATTAGGGAGGCAACAACTTCTAGATTTGAAGTTTTCTCTAAAATTAGAAGAATAGTACCTTTCCATACTATTTCAGTTAATACAAGGGTCAAATTAGATATTGGGGGGTGCCTGGGTGGCTCATTCATTAAGCATCTGCCTTAGGCTCAGTTCATGATCCCAGGGTACTGGGATCCAGCCCCACATCGGGCTCCCTGCTCCGCAGGAAGCCTGCTTCTCCCTCTCCCACTCCCCCTGCTTGTGTTCCCTCTCTCGCTGTGTCAAATAAATAAATAAAATCTTTAAAAAAAACTTTGTGAAGGCTTTAAAAAAAAAACAAATTAGATACCGGGTTTTAAAAAGCATTAAAAATAATTAAAAAGTTGTTTATATTAGTAAAAATTATTAGCATTTATGTAAGCATTATGATGTGAGAAGAAGAGACACAGTATCTGGTTGATAGATAAGGCAAAGCAAATACCAAGGCCAACTTGTCTCTTTCCACACAGAGCAGATGCTCAAAGCTCTTTGATTCATTTGTTTTATATTTGGTTATTTGGCTATTCCATATTTGAAAGTTTTGTTTTCAATTAAAAACCATTAACTATCCTTAGTGGATTTCCACCTAATAATGCCTTTTTAAAAAGCCCATCTGTCATTAAAATATATGTTTTCTGGGGTACCTGGGTGGCTCAGCCGGTTAAACGTCTGCCTTGGGCTCAGGTCATGATCTAATGGTCCTGGAATAGAGCCCTGCATCGGGCCCCCTGCTCAGTGGGGAGCCTGCTTCTCCCTCTCCCTCTCCCACTCCCCGTGCTTGTGCTCTCTCACTCTCTAATAAATAAAAAATTTAAATATATATACACACACACACACATATATATATATATACACACATATATGTTTTCTTCCATTGAGGGTAATGGTTTTTTGAGTCTCAGATTCCACTGAGAAGAAAACTATGAACTCATTCTTCATAAAAATGTGTGTGTGGAGTCGTTGCAACTTCTGGGGAAATTTGTACCCCTGGTGCGGGAGCTACGGGGCTCAGAGACAATGCTTGAAGTAGTGGGTGCGCCAACATGTCCCGTGGTTCCAGCGCTGGTTCTGACCACCACATTACCATTTTTTCACCCGAGGGCCAGCTCTACCAAGTAGAATATGCTTTTAAGGCTATTAACCAGGGTGGCCTTACATCGGTAGCTGTCAGAGGGAAAGACTGTGCAGTAATTGTCACACAGAAGAAAGTACCTGACAAATTATTGGATTCCAGCACAGTGACTCAGTTATTCAAGATAACTGAAAACATTGGCTGTGTGATGACAGGATGACAGGTGACAGCAGATCCCAGGTACAGAGGGCATGCTATGAGGCAGCTAATTGGAAATACAAGTATGGCTATGAGATTCCTGTGGACATGCTGTGCAAAAGAATTGCTGATATTTCTCAGGTCTACACACAGAATGCTGAAATGAGGCCTCTTGGTTGTTGTATGATTTTAACTGGTATAGATGAAGAACAAGGCCCTCAGGTGTACAAGTGTGATCCTGCAGGTTACTACTGTGGGTTTAAAGCCACTGCAGCAGGAGTTAAACAAACGGAGTCAACCAGCTTCCTTGAAAAAAAAAGTGAAGAAGAAATTTGATTGGACATTTGAACAGACAGTGGAAACTGCAATTACACGCCTATCTACTGTTCTCTCAATTGATTTCAAAACTTCAGAAATAGAAGTTAGAGTAGTTACAGTTGAAAATCCTAAATTCAGGATTCTTTCAGAAGCAGAGATTGATGCTCACCTTGTTGCTCTAGCAGAGAGAGACTAAACATTGTAGTAAGTTTACCAAATCCATGACGCCACTTGCCTGTGTGTTTGGTAGCAATAGACCAACATTATGGAGGCCCCTGGATTGAAAAAGGAATCTCTCCCACTCCTGCCCTGCCGCTGAAGTGGTTAGGACTCTGTATAAATAAAAACAGTGCTTTTGGAAAAAAAAAAAAAAAAGTGTGTGTGCTTCTGTGGGCACATGCACTTACAAACACAAAACAATAAGACAATTTTTCAAACAATTTCATTTCATAGGTTAATGAGCAAATCTGGGAAGGGAGATGTATTTTTTTTTTTAAAGATTTTTATTTATTTATTTGACAGAGACACAGTGAGAGAGGGAACACAAGCAGGGGGGAGTGAGAGAGGGAGAAGCAGGCTTCCCGCTGAGCAGGGAGCCCGATGCAGGGCTCAATTCCAGGACCCTGGGATCATGACATGAGCTGAAGGCAGACGCTTAATGACTGAGCCACCCAAGAGCCCTGGGAGATATATTTTATATATAATCTTTCAAAAATCTCTTTTATATTTTATTTTTGTCTATGTTGATTTCTACTGTCATTCCCAAGATGGAGAATCAATCAGTTAATATTCTTAGGAATTTTCCTGCAAAGAATAAAACATCTATTTTATAACATTAAGATATAGGTTGATATATAGTTTATACTCAGGTATAAAGGCCTCAGCCTTTACCCCTCCCCCCCACTGTTAAAGGTAAGTTTATTAATGATTGTCCTTTCTTTCTTTAAAAAAAAAAGTATATGTGTATATGTGTGTGTGTATATATATATATATATATTTTTTTTCCTAAAGTAATCTCTACGCCCAATGTGGGGCTCAAACTGATGATCAAGAATCAGATGCTCTACTGACTGAGCCAGCCAGGTGCCCCAAAAACCTTTTTTTTTTTTCAAGTAATCTCTACCCTCAATGTGGGGCTCGAACTCATGACCCTGAGATCAAGAGCTCTATGCTCTACCAACTGAGCTGACCAGGCACCCTTGTAATTGTCCTTTATTAATCAGGAGTTCCCAAATAATTTCCTCTAAACATGGTAAACTGTTTCGATGTTATTCTCAAAAACTTATTCAGAAGTTTGACTATTTTGGACTCATAGCCTGACCCACCTACTTGTCCCCCTTATTTAGTTAGTGGTCTGCTTGATAATACTTAAAAACACATAATGGACAAAGAAATGTTTCGGCTCCTTAACTTCATTGGCAACAACAAATTACCCTGGTTTCTGGCCAGGTGTTTCAGCTTAGTCTGAGTTGTCTTGTGGACTGTCTGTATCTCTCTATTCTAAAATCAAGATTATACTCACTTTTATATTTCAGCTTTTCTGAATATTCTATCCCAAACCATGTATTTTTATTTTTACACTGGCAGTTTTCTTCTTCAAAGTAACTATTAACAATTTCACCTTAGCCACAACTTCTTTAAGGATAATTAAAGTATTCTGTTTTGTTTTTTTTTCCCTACTGTTCTTACTTGTGCAGTCTCTGCGTGTTCCAGCATTTCTTCGAATTCCTGATACTCATCATCATCTGGTTCAGCACCTGAGAGGCGAGCTGCCCTGGCCATGAAATATGGAGGCAGCTCTCCAATTGCTGTACCGATACCCTATGTGCAAAACCAAATAGTCACATGAGATTCTGTTCCCAACACAGTGACACTAAACAGATCAAATCTATATTTTTCTACATCACCAAAAGCATGTTAAGATGCATGTGTTAGGGAGGAAAACATATATTGCATAATCAAGAGAACATAAGTGTGAATCCTGGTCCTAATATTGACCTGTGCAATGCCAGACAACATAATATACATTGAACTCTTATACAATACCTGGTGCATTACAGATATGAAATTAATGTTAAGTTCTCTAGCGTCTCTACTTATACTGTTATTTTGCCAGCTTCCCCCCCCGCTGCCGTTTTCAAATTTTCAAATGATTCGGTAATAAGTATTCACCAGTATAACTGTTAGATAAAATATTAAAAAAATTTTTTTTCTAGGAATCTTCCGGTATTTAGGGTGTTGCTTTAATCTCAATACAACATTATTTTGTACAGAGTTAAAACTTTTAACAAATCGCGGTCAGGAAGCCCCTTGAAAACTCAACATTAGGATGGATAGATTTTCACCACAGGAAAAATGTTTATTTCCTCAGGACATTGAGTGACTCATGTTTCAGTCACTTTGTGGATTCTTGTTTTTGAAGAGAATTTTTTTCAATCAGCTTAGGACAAAAGGATGAAAACAAAGGTAAGAGAACCAGAACTTGGTTTGGACTTAAAAGGCTTAAATACAAGATAATAATGTAAAAGGTACACAGTCTCTAGGAAAATTCTCAACTTTGAACCATCCTTCGCCTTGAGTCATAGTGAATGAAAAAGCTTTGGTAATTCTCAGAAGCAATTTTAGGTCTTTCTATTCACTCTGTACTATGACTCTGTCAGCAAATACCTTGAAAAGAATCCCCAAGGAACATTATCAAATTCAAACATTTTGTGTTCATAGTGTTATATTCCGATGTGTGGAATCAACAATCTCCAAATGAAACTGCATTATTCACATGTGAAACAAGAGTTCTTTTTTTTTTTTTTAAAGATTTTATTTATTTATTTGAGAGAGAGAATGAGAGAGAGCAAGCACATGAGAGGGGGGAGGGTCAGAGGGAGAAGCAGACTCCCTGTCGAGCAGGGAGCCCAACGCGGGACTCGATCCAGGGACTCCAGGATCATGACCTGAGCCGAAGGCAGCCGCTTAACCAACTGAGCCACCCAGGCGCCCTGAAACAAGAGTTCTGAAAAGGAATATATTTAAGTGCCAAAAGAATCAGGCTATACTTAAAGAACATAGATGAGAGGGAAGAGAGACTATACATCGAAGGATATATGAAAAAAACACAAATCATATTTTGCTAAACAAAAAAAGTTAACATTAGTCAACTTTGGAGGATATCAGAGAACCAATTTATTATTTAAAAAACAGGTAAAAAAAAGGGAAAGAATCCATTACTTATCCTGTCTTATCTATATGAAAGATATCTCAGGGTAACCAAATTGGTGAAAAGGAGGTTTCTTTTTTTTTTTTTTTAAAGATTTTATTTATTTATTTGACAGAGAGACACAGCGAGAGAGGGAACACAAGCAGGGGAGAGTGGGAGAGGGAGAAGTAGGCCCCCTGCAGAGCAGGGAGCCCGATGTGGGGCTCAATCCCAGGACCCCGGGATCATGACCTGAGCTGAAGGCAGACACTTATTGACTGAGCCACCCAGGCGCCCCAAGGAGGTTTCTCTTTATAAAAATATTCTAATCAATAACTAAAGAAAAAAATGATGTGACTGGAATACCCCCAAGTATAACCCTAATAAAATAATGAACTTGTATCACAATGGTGCTGATATCACAAAAAGAAAGACAATCAGACATTATTATTCCTTGTGATAGAAATACACAAGACTATGAAGTGTATTCTTGTCAAAAAAAGTTTTTTTTCAAGCCTCTCAATCTAACTATCAACTCACAAGAAGCACAGGGAACAGAGAAACACATCTGAACTATGCCAACTGGGATACAATTAGTAAAATCCAGACTATGGGAAACTATATTTGACAAACAACCCAGTTTAACCACAAATAAATTTCAAACAAAAAACAAGGAAATAAACACAATCAGAAAAATCTGAACATTAATGGGGTAACTGATTTGAAGAGACTATTCCTAATTTCTCTTAGGTGTGATAATGTTTTTTAAGTCCTAAGATTGATATATTTACAGATGAAATGTGATATGTTATGTAGGATATGCTTCAAGATAATTGACAGCCAAGTGACAAAGGATATAGATAAATCATATTAGCAAGGAATTAATATTAGCTGAGGTTGGGTGATAATATATTAAATTAATTATAATTCTCTATACTTAAATTTTTTCCCATTACAAAAAATGGGAATAAAAATTACTTGCAACATTTTATTCAAAACATGAACTTCTCTTAAAACCTGTTAACTCAAATGTTCAATAGTTCTGAAAGCAATCATATGATTCAAACTCATGACAAGTTTCCTTAAAGCTAAAAAGGAAGTAATAATGTATTGAAATGAAATCAAGAGCTACATATTATCTTATACTTGGTTGACCATATTTATTGTTATAGTTTAATTCTGCTCATGTTTTCCCACATTATCAAGAAAAAAGAATGGTGATCACGAGTCAATACTGTTTTTTATGCTTATAAATAAAAGAAATATAGTCATCCAGACAGGTCCCCCCAAACACATTATATTCTAGACATAAAAGCTTATTTAGTCATTTATCTCAAATTAGACACTGAAGTCCCATAATCTCAAGACTCTTACAAAACAATTTTATAATTCTTGCAAAATCAAAACAAAAAACCAAAACAGAACTATGGAACACTAAAAACTGTCAGCCTAGGTTTAATTAAGGGGAAGAAATAACCGGCTTCCTTATTGCAAAACAGAGACAAGTGGTTTTTAGTCAAGCAATAATTCAGAAAGCTCTTCTAAAAACCATGTGCTCCATATCAATTGATTACCCTGAAGTCCATGCTTCTTGAATTGGAGAAGAGTTTAACATGCACAAAATATGCAAAACCAAGAGGGAAATATCTTCCTGGAGTGTCAATTTTTTTTTAAAGATTTTATTTATTTATTTGTGATAGAGAGACAGCAATTGATAGAGCAGGAGCAGGGGAGCAGAGGGAGAGGGAGAAGCAGACTCCCCACTGAGCAGGGAGCCCAATGTGGAGCTCCATCCTAGGACCCTGGGATCAAGACTGAGCCTAAGGCAGATGCTTACCCCACTGAGCCACCCAGGCACCCCTGGAGTGTCAATTTTATTCAAAGATTTGGGGGAGGAGAAAAATCCTGAATTTTTAAAAAGTTTTGTCAAGTGGATTCACAAGCAAATCAGCAGCATTTTGCTTTTCCATGTTGGGAATCATAAGTTTAATGGTAAAAATCTGGAGAGCAGAAAATTTTACATAAGCTGACTCTCAGAAATTACAGTTTTGTATTATCTGTGTATTAATACTTTTTAAAACCAAAATCATTTTTCTATTACATATTCCAATTACAAACATAAATCAGAGGTTAAGAGCAGAAGTTAGGAGGGTAAGCTTGAAACTACTGAAAAATTCAGGGTTCTTACAGCTATGTTTAAAAAAAACCAATTATACAATCCTAGTAGAATTATCAAGACTGTTTTGCAAATAAAAGAGAAGATTTGCTTCCGGTTTCTCTTGGGTCAGTTTTAAAATGGCTTCAGGAAGGAATGAAGTTCTGACACGTGCTACAACATGGACAAAACTTGAACGCATTACGCTAAGTGAAATAAGCCAGACACAGAAAAACAAGTGTTATATGATTCCATTTATATAGATTAGACATATTCAAAGAGGCAGAAAGTAGAATAGATATTATCCCCCCACTCTCTCTCTCTAAAATAAATAAATCTTAAAAAAAAAACTGTTAAGATGGTAAAACTTACATTATGCATATATTACCACAATAAACACCCTCTAACCATGAACTTAACAAATAAATGACTTTAAAAGGTGATGCTCTTTATCTAAAAGTCAACACACATGCTCTTCTCTTCCCTGCCCTGCTGTACCGCTTTACTCCTTATCATTCTTAGATTGGAACTGAAACATCGCTTCTTCATGGAAATCTTCCCTGAATTACAAATCAGGGAAAATTTTTGTGTTATACAGATATCTCCTTCATATTTATATATATAATTTTTCCATGATATTTACTTATACATTTTTTTCATGATAATTATTTCCCTCACTAGAATGTAAAGCTCCACGAGGGTAGAGACTGTTCAGTTTTGCTCACTCTGAATCTCCAGTGCTTGGATACATAACTGTTACTGGAATTCATGAGTGAAAAAATTTTTGAAGCCTTGCACTGGTGAATCAGCCAAATTGTGGAAGATCAAAAGGTGCAAATGAAAAAAAGTAACTAATGATCAACAATATCAAACAATTCATTTTAGCGTGCTCCTAAGACCCATATGAACAAGTTGAAACTGAGGGTAACCCTGGTCTTTATGTTATAATTGAAAGTACTTTGTATTTTAATGATTTTACTGATTCAGTACATTTAAGTGAAGTCTGTAAAGACATTTTATTTTGCTAAGTACAAATTAGATAAAAATTTCAAATAAGTTTTTAATCAAGCAAGACATTCTCTTGAAAAAAACATATGGATATGAACACAAATGGGACCACATCTGTGAAAAGTAAACTATAAGAATCAAAGCCAACACATTCTAAATTAAGTTTCTCACCCTCAGTAGCATGAACTTTTTATGACTATATCCCATTTAACCATTTTAAAATATAAAACTAAGTGGCATTAATTGCATTCACAATATTGTGCAGCCATCATCACTATTTCCAATATTTTTCATCACCCAAATGGACTCTGCACCTATTAAGCATTAACTTCTCATTCCCCACAACTCTGGTAACTTCGAATCTACTTCTTGTCTCTATGAATTTGACTCTTCTAGACAATTCACGTAAGTGGAATCATACAATATCTGTCTTTCTATGTAATCACTTATTTCATTTAACATGATGTTTTCAAAGGTCATCCATATTGTGGCACGAATCAGAACTTCATTCCTTTTTATGGATGAATAATATTGCATTATATGTACATACTGCATTTTTGGGGGGAGGGGCCTTTCTCTTTTAATCCCCTCCCTGCTCCAACTCTTAAAGAAGTACCCAGAAATCAAATGCAAGGAAGCTCAAAGAGCCAAGGCTACCCAGCCCAAGATTCGCAGGCTCCCTCCTACAGGGGCTAAAGTCTGGATGCTGGGGTCTCCACTCAGAGTCTGGTAGTAAAAGCTGGTGCAGAATAAGGTGGTTCCAGAAGCTAGCAGTAACCAGCCCAGAGGGACTTTCTGCAATGGGGCAATCCTAACAGAGCCAGGCTGTGTAAGAAATGGTGTTTGTTGGTCTTGTCAAAGAGCCCTTCCTGTAGGCATTCGGAAACGGCACCGTGCACCCCCGCAGGAGACCAAGCCTAAGGCCCTGGCTCTGGACAAGACGCCCAAGCAGTGGAAAGCAGCCCCTGCCCTGGCCATGGCAGTGGATGGTCACCTGTATTTTATATTTTGTTTATCCATTTATCTGCTGAGGGACACTGGGCTGTTTCCACCTTTCTGAAAATGTGAATAATTCTGCTGAACATTGAAGTACAAGTACCTATACTTATACCTGAGTCCTAGTTTTCAGTTCTTTGTGGGTATTTACATAGGAGTGGAATTAGAGGAGGATCATATGGTAATTTTATGTTTAAGTTTTTGAAAATCCACAAAACTCTTTTCTCCAGCAGCTGAATCACTTTACATTCTCACCAACAGTCTATAAGAATTCCAATTTCTCCACATCCTAACACTTGTTGTTTTCTTTAAAAAAAAAAATAACAGCCATCCTAGTGTGTGTAAAGAGATATTTCCATGTGTTTTGGATTTGCACTTCCCCAATGACTAAATGATGTTGAGAATCTGTGTACTTACTGGCCATTTGTATATCTTCTTTGGAGAAAAGTCTATTCAAGTTCTTTGCCCATTTTTTAATTGGGTTGTTTGTCTTTTGTTGTTGAGTTGCAGAAGTTCTTCAAACATTCTGGATATTAAACCTTTATCAAATATATGATTTATGAACATTTCCTCCCATTCTGTGGGTTGTCTTTTCACTCTTAGTGTTCTTTGATGTATAAGAGATTTTAATTTTAGTGAAGTTCAATTTATCTATTTTTTTTCTTGTTGCCTATGCTTTGGGGGTCATATTTAAGAAACCACTGCCAAATCCAACATCATGCAGATATGTCTCTATATTTTCCTCTAAGAGTTTTATAGTTTTAGTTTGGGTCTTTAATGCATTTTGAGTTAATTTTTACATACAGCATAAGATAAGGGTCCAAATTCATTCTTTTGCATGTGAATATTGTTTTCCCAGCACCTTTTGTTGGAAGGACTATCCATATAAATGTTGAGAACAAAAGGAACCAATTTAAACATAACTTGATATGTGCTATACTTTATACATGACAAATAATTTCAAAAAAGGAAATATGAGGAGCACTTAGCCAATTAATCAGTACTTATCAACAGTCTTATACTATGTGCAAAGCCTAATGGTGATTGCTGTAAGGGTAATAAATTTAAGGTACAGTCTATATTTTTTAGAAGCTTAAAATTTATTTGGGAAAGTAAGCCACTACACCAGCCAAGTTAACTAATTTAAGGCATGCATGGAGCCAAGCCAAATGAGCACTTCAGACAGTATGAACTATAGGAGTTGGAGGAGGCAATTATCACTGCCAGCTGCAATGGAAGTTTTTCTTTGTTGGCATTAGTGTTAATCCAGCCACGTAAACCATTTATCAAAGAACAAAAGCAAAACTGAAAACCAAAATCTATATACATGGTCTCTTTCTGGCATGTTCCCAGTATTTTGTTATTTTAATAATATTTGTCATCAGGGCGCCTGGGTGGCTCAGTTGGTTAAGCGACTGCCTTCGGCTCAGGTCATGATCCTGGAGTCCCTGGATGGAGTCCTGCATCAGGCTCCCTGCTCAGCAGGGAGTCTGCTTCTCCCTCTGACCCTTCCCCCTCTCATCCTCTCTCTATCTCATTCTCTCTCTCAAATAAATAAATAAAATCTAAAAAAAAAAAAAATATTTGTCATCAAAAGACTAATGTGGTCAAATTTATAAAACATATGCAACTAGTACAATGAATCTGTTTCCAGTATTTATAAAAGAATAACAGGAAATATGACAATTATTCCTGTCTTTCATATTCAACAAATTCAATATATGGCATTTCCCTTGTAATTCTTTTAAAATACAACACACTAGGTTATAGTATATATACTGTAACAGACAAATAACTTATACTAAAAATAAAGATAGTTTGAAAAAAAAAACACACCCAACATCCTTGCTAACATTTAAACAAATGTATTTGAAAACTCTGCCTCTTCTGTGGATTTGGTATTCATGCCCATTTTAGTTGAGATTTTTAAGTGATCTGTCCCATATATTTTATTTTATAAGACACTGTTAGGGGAAAAAAGTTACAGAGAACATACAACTTAATGAGTCCAAATGATAAAAAATATTCAAATGATAATAGAAAGTCTTTAGCAAAGGAACTATTCCTTAATGATACACACTTGAATGAATTTGGCACAATGAAAAAAAAAAGAATGCTTTGTATAGATTAAAATAATCTGCCACTGAACATACAGTCCAAAAGCTTCCCAAAATATACTTAAGCAAACCATAAAAGAATAATTGGTACAATTGAAAGTAAGATCACCATAGACAACCATATCATCTGATACTTCCCCTACAGTAAAGTTTGGTTTATTAAAAAATATCTGACCTTACTTCAGTATTATTAACAACTCAGAAAATGAAATAAGCCCTCTAAGAATAAACAGAGTATCTTGAATATAGGAGAGAGACAACATTTACCAACCTGGGTCTGATATATAACCATTTGCTATGTGTTTATCTATCTACATGTGTTTATTAACATTGGTAAAATTTTGCAAAGTAGTATAGTTGCATTATCCGTCCTCCTTTTCCCTCCTGTGGTCTACTTGGCATCCACTGCTTTGTGATACCCTTGGCTTCATGCCTTCCTTCTGAATGTCATTCATGAATAGGGGAAACTCTAAAGGGCTTCTCTTACTTGTAAGTGGATAACTGGTGACTTCATGAATTAATTATCTATTGACTCGCTAGGTAGATATATATTTGGACTCAATTTTAATGAGGTACAACAAAGTATCAAGACAGTGAGGTTAATTTTAGACAAAGATGAAAATGGACATCTTACCCACATGCAGGCCTCAATCCTAACTTTTGAGATGATGCTCCACAAAGAAATGGTTCCTTCAGTGCCCTCTTCATCTGGACAAATAATCTGATCAGGATAGGGTGGTTCGGGGAAATTAACTGAATTGCATTCATAAGCAGCTAATGTAACTGAAGCTATATGTGGACCCTATAAAACAAATATGAGAAACCTCTGATGAGAAATATTAAAGCAAAAGGAATTATCAATACACGTCATTTTAACAGTATCTTAATTACTATATGTAAATAGAAAAATCTTAGCTTTCATTTCTTTATTTTTATGGGGGGGGCAGCAAAGGGAGAGGGAGAGAATCTTAAGCAGGCTCCACACCCAGCATGGGGCCCAACACGAGGCTCAATCTCACTCTGTGAGATCATGAACTAAGCTGAAATCAAGAGTCAGATGTTTAACCAACTGAGACACCCAAGCACCCTGAAAAATCTTAGCTTTCAAAGAACAAGAATCTGGGGCGCCTGGGTGGCTCAGTTGTTGGGCATCTGCCTTCAGCTCAGGTCATGATCCTGGGGTCCTGGGATCGAGCCCCACATTGGGCTCCCTGCTCAGTGGGGAGTCTGCTTCTCCCTCTCCCACTCCCCCGCTTGTGTTCCTTCTCTGTGTCTCTCTCTCTGTCAAATAAATAAATAAAATCTTTAAAAAATATATTAAAAAAAATAAAGAACACGAATCTAACTAAATATTTCAAGTTACAGTTGGTAATTTGAAAAAATAATACTTCTCAGAATTGCTTCCTGGCTTGCTTTTTTTTAAAAAAATTCAGATTTATTGAGGTATAATTTATGTATAGTAAGAGTCACTATTTTTATGTCTGTAGTTTAATGAATTTTGACAAATATATTCAACTGTATAACCACAACCAATCAAGATATAGAATATTTCCATTGCTACAAAAAGTTCCCTCATGTCCTTTTGTAATCAATCTCCTCCCCCAACACCAGCCTCTAGAAACCTTATGATTTCTGGCTTTATTCTGATTTTATTTATCTATATTCCCAATTGTAAGAATGTTACAGCCTGTGATAGAAACTTCCTGTGCCCTATTCTTTTAGGCATAATTTGAGAATACCACTTTTTGTCCTTACTTAAAAACAGTTGGTGAAGTAACTACCTAACTTACCTCCCCCAAAGATAACAGATCCTTAAAACAAAAGTGTGGAACCAGTATCAGTGAGTTTTTTTTCTTTTTGTAAAGATTTTATTTATTTGAAAGACAGAGTGTGAGAGAGAGAGAGAGAGATCATGAGCAGTGGGGAGTGGTAGAGGGAGAAGCAGGCTTCCCGCTGAGCAGGGAGCCCGATGCGGGACTCAATCCTAGGACCCTGGGATCATGACCTAAGCCAAAGGCAGACGCTTAACTGACTGAGCCACCCAGGTGCCCTGAGTTTTTCTTTTAAAGCAATTTTTTCTATGGAAGCTTTTGTGTTGCTGTGTACCTTTATTTTAAAATATTACAAAAATTAATAATCACACTGGTTAAAATGGATTAATATTAGATGTGTGATAAAGGCTTAAACACAATGGTTCCCACGTGCACATGTATGCCAAGGTGAGGGGTCTGCATAAGAACCAAGTAGGGAGTTTACTAAAAATATAAATTCCTGAGGCGACTGGATGGCTCAGTTGGTTAAGTGTCTGCCTTCGGCTCAGATCATGATCCTGGGGTGCTGGGATTGAGCCCCACATCGGGCTCCCCGCTGAGCAGGGAGTCTGCTTCTCCCTCTGCCCCTCTCCCAACTCATGCTCTCTCTCTCTAATAAATAAATACAATCTTTAAAAATATATATGTATCGGTCCCCTATGCATAGATTTATTCAATAGGTGGGGATGGGAACCTGTATGTTTTAAACAAGCTCCTTTAGAATTTCAAATAGGTTAGGTTCTAATAGGCTAGGTTTGGGAACCATTGGGAGAACAGTAAATTAAGGGTCAGAAATTAAACTTAGACAAAGTCACTTAACCTTTCTGGGCCTCAGTTTTACTCTTCTGCAAGGCAAAAGAATTAGACTCTTAGTTTTATCCAGCTCCAAAATTTAAAAACTCCAAATATAATCAAATACGTCAATAAAATCTAACAATTTCCAAAGTTCTCATGAGGTGTCACAGCTAAACCCTGGACATCCTTAACATGTTGCTCTAACACACAAGGGTAAAGCATACTGAGGACATAGTGGCCATAGCATAACTTCTAGAGCCAGATGTTCTGGTTCAGGTTCTGGCCTCTGTCACTTACTTTCTGAGTCTTGCTTTCCTAATCTATAAAATGGAAATCATCAAATACCTTCAGAACCTACATTCTGGGGATACTATAAGGTTTAAATCAGTCAACTCATATAAAGTACTCAGCTTAGAATAAGCCCTCAAAAGGTACTAGCCATTAATTATTATGAAGAAAAATACTATATTTGTAGAATAAAATTTTATAGGATAATAAATAAAAAAATTTAAGTTATGTAAGTAATATAATATGAAATTATGTTATATATGTAAAAGGTACACATAATTTTATTCTCTCGCTCTCTCTATACATATACATATAGAGTAAGTGGTCTCTGTATATAAGAGAGCCTTTTTAAATCATAAGGTAAAAGAATTTGTGGTTCAGGGGCACCTGGGTGGCTCAGTTGGTTAAGCGTCTGACTTTGGCTCAGGTCATGATCTCAGGGTCGTGAGATCCAGCCCAGTGTCAGGCTCCAAACTCAGCGCAGAGCCTGCTTAAGATTCTCTCTCCCTCTCCCTCTGCCCCCTCCCCGCCCTGCTCATATGTTTGCGTGTGTGTGCTCTCTCCCTCTCTAATAAATAAATAAAGAAATAAAATCTAAAAAATAAAAAAGAATTGTGGTTCAAAGACAAATGTGCACAAGATGCAACAATGAAAATAAAATATTAAAGACCTATTGCTATCAAAAAGGTGATGGGGGCGCCTGGGTGGCTCAGTCGGTTAAGCATCTGACTTCCACTCAGGTCATGATCCCAGGGTCCTGGGAATCGAGCCCCAAGTTGGGCTTCCTGCTCAGTGGGGAGTCTGCTTGTCCCTCTTCCTCTGCCCCTCCCACCACTTGTGCTCTATCTCTGTTGCTATCACTGTCTCTCTCTCTCAAATAAATAAAATCTTAAAATACTTTTATTTTTAAAAGGTGATTTAAAACAAAACTTTTTGTTGCATGTTAATAGGAAAAATATATTCATAAATCTAAGCTACATTTCTCCCTATATGCAACTGGCATGTGTTCAAATAAAATCTAAAAAATGAAGTTCTACACTTAGCACTGAATCAATCAATTATTCATTTTTTGGGCGCCTGGGTGGCTCAGTCACTTAAGTGTCTGCCTTTGGCTCAGGTCATAATCCTAGGGTGTGGGATTGAGTCCCGCATTGGGCTCCCTGCTCAGTGGGGAGTCTGCTTCTCCTTCTACCCTCCCCCCCCCACTTGTGATCTCTCTCTCTCTCTCAAATAAAGAATCTTTAAAAAAAAATTTTTTCTGTACCAAAAAATTCTATGTGAAGTTTTATAGTCTGTTCCTCTTTTCCTTGAGTTTTAATTCACAGAAATCCATAAACAGCAATATTTACATTTAAAAAATAATTACATAAATGCTTTTGATCAGTCACATTTTCCTTAAAAATTATGATTAACCATGAAATTCACAACTTCTTCTTTGAATACTACATGCATAAAAGATTTCACAGTTGGGGGAAAATTATTACTTTGTGATTTTTTTTTTAAGATTTTATTTATTTATTCATTAGAGAGAGAGAGAGAGAGAAACAGCATGAGAGGGGAGAGG